TGGCGAGAAACTTCGAGGTGAGGGGATCTTGTGCCCTAAAAGGCTTGGGAGGAAAGGAAACCCAGGCTTGATTAGGTTGGTTGACTAGGTCTGAGTATGGTACCAAGGAAAAGGGAGAAGTCCATGAGCACTTGCCAAAATACTCTCTGGGTGCAAAGCCTGTGTGCAACTCAGAGTTGGCTTCCCAACCTGAAAGGAGGATAGAGGCAGACAGCAATGTGCAGTGGCCATGCCAGGGAAGCCAGGAGGAAGGAACACTGATTTGACCTGATAGACCCACAGAAGACGGGCCTCGAGGGCTGGACCTTATCTCAGGAGTAGAAAGGAGGAGCAGGGCAAGCCGGGCTCGGTGGCTCAGCCTGTAATCCTGCGCTTTTGGGAGGCTGATGTGTGTGGATTGCCTGAGCCCGCGGGTTTGAGACTCGCCTGGTCAACTTGGCGAGACCTCATCTCTACAATAAATCAAAAATTAGCCGGGAGTGGTAGTGCACGCCTGTAGTTTCAGCTCCTTGGAAGGCTGAGGCGGAAGGATTGTTGGAGCCCAGCAGGTCGAGGTTGCGGTGGCCAGGAGCGTGCCACTGCACTCCAGTCTGGGCAACAGAGTGAGATTCCAACTCATAAAAAAAAAAAAAAATAGAAAATATGACCTTCTGCGTGGCAGGACTGTCTGGACCCCCCCTGCTCTCATTCTCCCCTTTCTTAACCCACCCTTCCCTGGACCATTCAGGCACATTACAGGGAGGACCTTGGGCTGAGGACTGTGCCAGGGTAACCTGTGCCTTCTTAAGAGGCAAGGTGTATTTGGTGGCAAAGTCAGTCTTCCAGCGTGTCATGCTAGGCCCAAGACTAGCTTCATACAAAGATGAACATGAGCCGGGCTCGGTGCTCAGCCTGTAATCCTGTGCTTTGGGAGGCTGAGGTGAGTGGATTGCCTGAGCTCGCAGATTTGAGACCTGCCTGGGCAACTTGACGAGACCTCATCTCTACAATAAATAAAAAATCAGCCAGGTGTGGTAGCGCACGCCTGTAGTTCCAGCTACTTGGAAGGCTGAGGCGGAAGGATCACCGGAGCCCAGCAGGTCAAGGCTGCGGTGGCCGGGAGCGGCCACTGCACTCCAGTCTGGGCGACAGAGTGAGACTCCAACTCAAAAAAAAAAAAAAAAAAAAAAAAGGAGGAGCAGGGCATAGCAGGGCTCAGCTGCACGTTTAGGGTCTTGAGGAGATAGGACCACAGCGTGCTTCTTAACACTCTGAGGAGCCTGATGTCTCCAGACAGCACTTCTCACTTGGGGCCCTGTATCTTGGGCTCACCCAGTGTTAATGCGTTTGTCAAGACAAATATTTCTAGTGCAAAAGGGAAACTTTAAGTTCAATTGTGAGACTTATCAGAGCCTTTAATATGCTGTCTCTCCCTCAGTGGCTTTGCATTGGACTCACGAATAGCTAACATTTACTGGGCACTTACTATGAGGCAGGTACCACACAGTCTTTACATGGCTTATTTCTCTAAATCCTCTCAACAATCCTGTGAGATAGATAGTATTTGAATCTCCTTTTTATAGATAGGCTTAAAGAGGTTTGATGACTTGTCCAAGGTCATATGGCCAGAATATGGCCTTGGGTAGTCTGACTTGGGAGCTCATGCTCTTAACCTGTGGACTTACAAGTCTTGTAGATACTATGCTTTATTTCCCTTTGGGCTTCCACATATATTCTTCCCCTTTCTGGAATCATCTTTGCCCTTGCCCACTCCGTCCTCTTCTTCAGTTTAGGTAATTCAGGTTTCACATACCTTCAAGACATGTGAGATCCCTCTGCTTTTTGTTCTTACATCTTCTCCCTTCACAACATACATCATACTCTATTGTTGTTTTTCATTTGCTTTCTGGTAGACAGTGAACTTGGTAAGGACACATTTGACTCACCATTGTGTCTAGTATGGTGCTTGGCATTCAGTAAATAACTTGTAGGAATGAATTTCCTAATACTCAGTTTCAATTCAGGCCTATTAAAATCTCCTGGGGCTGGGCTCAGTGGCTCAGCCTGTAATCCCAGCACTTTGGGAGGCTGAGGCAAGTGGATTGCCTGAGCTCGCAAGTTCGAGACCAGCCCAGGCAACTCGGCGAGAACTCATCTCTACAATAAATAAAAAATTAGCTGGGCATGGTAGCATGTTCCTGTAGTTCAGGCTACTTGGAAGGCTGAGGCAGAAGGATTGCCGGAGCCCGGCAGGTCGATACTGGGGTGGTCGTGAGTATGCCACTGCACTTCAGCCTGGGTGACGGAGTGAGACTCCAACTAAAAAAAAAACAAACAAATCTCCTGGAAGTATGCCATGAAACACCATTGAGAAATTGCTAGGATGGAGAAGCTGGTGCCTGAGTGGTAGAAAAAACTAAAAATATGAACTTGAGCCAGGCGCAGTGGCATGTGCTTATAGTCCCAGCTACTTGGGAGGCTGAGCTGAGAGGATCACTTGAGCCCAGGAGTTTGAATCCAACTTGGACAACATAGCGAGACCCTGTTTCTAAAAATAAATAAATAAACAGAAATATAGATTTGGATAAAGTTATGGAGGGCTCTGTGCTGTAGGAGTCTAGACTTGATCCTGATGCCATGTTGGGGCATCAGGGGAAGGTGTCTTTTTTCTTTTTTTTTTTTTTAGTTGGAGTCTCACTCTGTTGCCCAGACTGGAGTGCAGTGGTCGCTCCCGGCCACTGCAGCCTCAACCTGCTGGGCTCCGGCGATCCTTCCGCCTCAGCCTTCCAAGTAGCCGGAATTACAGGCATGCGCTACCATGCCTGGCTGATTTTATTTTTATTTATTGTAGAGATGAGGTCTCGCCAAGTTACCCAGGTGGGTCTCGAACCCGCGGGCTCAGGCAATTCACTCACCTCAGCCTCCCAAAGGCCCGGGATTACAGGCTGAGCCACCGAGCCCAGCTGGTTTCTTTTTTTTGAGTCAGAGTCTCACTCTGTCACCCAGGCTGGAGTGCAGGTTGGTATGGCATGCTTGTGGTCACCACAGTCTTGACCTGCTAGACTCAGGCAATCCTTCCACTTCAGCCTTCCAAGTAGCTAGAACTACAGGCATCTGCCATCACACCTGGCTAATTTTTTGATATATTGTAGAGATGAGGTTTCGCCAAGTTGCCCAGGCTGGTCTTGAGCCCGTGGGCTCAAGCAGTCCTCTTGCTTACACCTCCCAAAGTGCTGGGATTGCAGGCATGAGCCACCACGCCCAGCTAGGGAAGGGATTTAAACAAGGAACTTACCCAGTATGTGCATTAAGAAATTCGTTTCCACTTGTTCTCTTTGGGTTGAGTTGTGGTTCCACTAACCAGAGTGGGGATTGTAGGAGGAATAGGTTTGGGGAGAAAGGAATACATAAAAGATATAAATTTTGTCCATATGTATTATGTATGTGAAAATTAGGTAATATGTTGTGTGAGGGAGTTTGACTTGGCTGGCGGGTTGGAGGAAGCCAATGATATGGTTGGATAGAACCTTGAAATCAACCTAGGTTTTCTTAGGAAGGCCACCAGGAGCCTTGGTAGGTATTTGAGTTGTTCTGCAGGAATAGTGTCTAATACTGAGACTTGGCAGAAGGCAGGCCGGAATGGGAACACTGGTGGCCCTGACAGTGTTAAGGAGGTCCCAGCAGAGACCTAGTGCTAAAGGCCCTGGAGGGGGCTGATGGCATTCCCTCAATCTTTGCCCTCTCTCCCCAGAGTTGTGTGGGACCCCAGGGTATCTAGCACCAGAGATCCTTAAATGCTCCATGGATGAAACGCACCCGGGCTATGGCAAGGAGGTTGACCTGTGAGTTTCTGACCTCTTCCCCCTCCTATGTTTACTGTCCTTTAGTGTATTTGCCCATCACTTAGTCTGTCTGACTCTGGTCTCTTTCTCAGCTGGGCCTGTGGGGTGATCTTGTTCACACTCCTGGCTGGCTCACCACCCTTCTGGCACCGTCGCCAGATCCTGATGTTACGCATGATCATGGAGGGCCAGTACCAGTTTAGTTCACCTGAGTGGGATGACCGATCAAACACTGTCAAAGACCTGGTGAGCTGGGGCTGTGAGAGGACAGTGGGGGAGACCTGAGAGCTGCCCTTCACACTTTGGGGTTTCCCGTAGATCTCCAGGCTGCTGCAAGTGGATCCTGAGGAGCGTCTGACAGCTGAGCAGGCCCTACAGCACCCCTTCTTTGAGCGCTGTGAAGGCAGCCAGCGCTGGAACCTCACCCCCCGCCAACGGTTCCGGGTAAGCCTGGGAGTGTCAGGATCTGGGCCTTTGTCTCTCTCCCATGATCTTTCCCTTGTGCTAGCTGCTCTACTGGAGCTCACACTGTCTCCTTTCCTAGGTGGCAGTATGGACAGTGCTGGCTGCTGGACGAGTGGCCTTAAGCACCCACCGTGTACGGCTGCTGACCAAGAGTGCACTGTTGAGGGACCCTTACGCGCTGCGGTCAGTGCGGCGCCTCATTGACAACTGTGCCTTCAGGCTCTACGGACACTGGGTGAAGAAGGGTGAACAGCAGAACCGGGCAGCCCTCTTTCAGCACCAGCCCCCTGGGCCTTTCCCAATCATGGCCCCCGAAGAGGAAGGGGACTCAGTTACTGTAACTGAGGATGACTCTGCACTGGTGCTGGGCTAGGATCTCAACCTGAGGAATCCCAGAATACAGGACTCTCCAGGAGGAGGATTTTGAGCATTCCAGACCCTCTGGCACTGGCCTCAGGTTCCCCTGCCTAGCCAGGCCCACCACTGATCATGCTACTGTCATAAAGACCAGCACTGTATACCTCCCCCACTGGCCAGGGCTTTGAGCTCAGAGCTGGAGTGGAAGGGAACCACTCTGAATGCCACATCCAGCCTGGTCAGTGCTGCCTATGCTGCGTATGAAATAAAATCTGCTATACGCCAGGGAGAGCAGTTACCCTGTCTGGTGTCTGGCTTGGACAAGGAAGCCCAGAAGGTGCTCAGGAGGGGGCCGGGGCAGGGATGGGCTACTCTGGCCCAGATCTTTATTAGGGGAAATGCTGGTGATCACTTAGTCTTGTTCTTGCCTTTGCCCGGATGTAGCTGCAAGGTCTGCTCCAGTGCAGTCAACTTGCTGCTGAGCCTTTCTTCGCTGGCCTTGAGCTGCTCCTCCACCAGCTGTTGGAGCTGCTTCAGCTCCTGGTTCAGTTGGGTCTTGATGTAGGCTCGGAGGATGTGGATCTGGCCTACAGGGGCAGGAAAAGAAGGGGCAAGTCAGGACATACACTTTCTGGAGATGAGAGATGGTCCTCAGCTGGGCAGACACAACCTCCAAGGTGCCCCTGGGGGATACATAGGCTGCAACCTTGCTTCAGTTTAGGAAATGTCAGTCAGCCCTTCTGTGAGAAAGAGTTGGGCAGTGTGGCTATGCTGGGCTTTCCTGATTCAAATTCTGATTTCTACTTGTAGTTGCATGACATTAGAAAGCTTATTTCATCTTTCCATGCCTCAGTTCTGTAGTAATAACACTTAACATGTAGGATTGAGTTAATATATGTAAAATGAGCTAATATAGATAAAATGCTTAAAACAGGGCACCTATTAACTAGATACCTGTAGCCAAACATGTGCTGACCATTGTTATTGGTTTTCTTTTTATTTATTTTTCTTTATTACTAATTTTTAATCTTTTGAGTAGGGGTCTCATTTCTGTTGCCCAGGCTGGAGTACAATGGCACAATCACAGCTCACTGCAGCCGTGGCCACTTGGGCCAAGTAGCTGGGACTATAGGCGTATTGCACTACTCTGGGCAGTTTTTTTTTTGGTAGAGATTAGGTCTCACTTGTTGCCCAGGCTGATCTTGAACTCCTGGGCCGAAGTGATTCTTCCGTCTTGGCCTCCCAAAGTGCTGGGATTATAGGCGTGAGCTTTTTATCTGTCATCTTGGACTTCTGCTAAGGACTCATTTGGAGAAAGGACATCATGACTAAAAACAAAAACTCTGAAGATCTGATGTGGTCCAAACTCTTCGTTCTACACCTATTCAGAGTCACAGGGCACCTTGACCTTTCCAGATCCTCACTTGGCTCTTGCTCAGGCTGAGCCACTGTCTCCAGTTCCTCCTCCTCCTCCTGTGAAGTGACTGTCTCCTCCTTCATCTCCTTGCTTTCTTCTTTCTCTGCAAGCCAGAACCGCGAAGATGCCTCAGCTCCAACCCCATCCTAACCCTAGCCCTGGCATTCTCCTTTACCCATCTTACCCTCTGGCCAGTGCTTGGGTGGCTGTAGCCCTATGTAAGTCAAGGATAGATCCAGCCGCACCTGGGAAGAGAGAAAAAAGAGGGAGGCTGAGAGGGCAACTGCACTGAGGGAATGGGGGAGATGACGGGGGGCCTCTTGTAGTCCACGGGCCAGTACCTGGGGTGTGAAGACATATTTGTAGAGCTTGAAGTGGCGGAAGTAGGTGTTGACCACATAGTCTGCCAAGGCCAGCAGCTTTTCCTCCTCAAAGAGGTCAATGCTGAAAGGGGGCCGCTGTGGTGATGACTGGGAGTTAGAACACTGACCACTAGAACTAGAACTCCTGGATCCCTGACCTTTCCTCCAAGAGTCCAGCAATCTAGGAGCAGGGAGAGCCCACTCTGGCCTTCAGAGGAAGATGAGGGTGATGTGTGTAAGAGAGGGTGGGAGATTGGGCAAGACCTTTTCTGGGGGAGGGTAGAATTTCTAGAATGTTCCAGGGGAACTGACCCTGACTCCATGGCAAAAAAGAAGACTGGTGAAGTAGTGGTAGCATTCCTCCACGTTGCCCAAGGGGGTTGCTGGTAGGGAAAGCAAGATGCAGTAGTGAGTCCCTTCTCTGACATTCACTCACTTTATTCAGCAGCCATTTATGGAGTATCAGCTTCAGAAGTGGACAGGTCTAGGTTTAAGTCCTGGTTTGTTTCCTTAATTCACTCTATAAATATTCTGTAACCATTAGATAGTGTTAAGCACTGAACAAGACAGACAAGGTTCTGCCTTCGTGAAGCTTATATTCTAGTGGAAGTGACATATACATAAAAAGATATGTCATAATTTAACCTGTTGTTAAATATTTTGTAGGAAATCAGTTAGAGAATAAAGGAGTTGGGGTGGGAAAGCAGGAGTGTTTTTTTTGTTGTTGTTTTGTTTTGTTTTTTTGAGTTGGAGTCTCACTCTGTCGCCCAGACTGGAGTGCAGTGCTTCCTCCTCAGCCTTCCAAGTAGCTGGAACTACAGGCGCGTGCTACCATGCCCGGCTAATTTTTTTTTGATTTCTTGCAGATATGAGGTCTTGCCAAGTTGCCCAGGCGGGTCTCAAACCCATGGGCTCAGGCAATCCACTCACCTCAGCCTCCCAAGGCGCGGGATTACAGGCTGAGCCACCGAGCCCGGCTAGGAGTGGTTTTATTGAGCACTGTGCATATATTTACAATGGCATTTCTCAGAGGAGTCCCAAAAAATTAGTGCTGTATCCTTAATTTACGAGATAAGGAAATGGGATTTCAAAGGCAATAACTTGTGTGTTACAGTGCACCTAGTAATGACCAAGATTCCAGGTGAGAGTCTTCCTACTTCTCATGGTCACTTGTGCCAGTCCAGCCTCCTCTTCTCTCTAGGGCTCAAATCTTCTGGTAGCCACCTTCCTCTTACCAACACAGGCCTTGTGGAGATCCTGGAGCAGGGCACATGCTGCTGATGTCTGCTCCAGTGAGAAACCCTGCTGGCGGCAGAAGATGAGTGCATAGGAGAAGAGGTCCAGGGTGATGGTTTCTCGCAGGCTCTGTTCCGGATGGCCTAGCTCCAGCAGCTCAGCCAGCACCCTTGGGAGGGAGAGAGGAAGGAGTGACAACAGAAGCCTCCTTTCATCACCCCACACCCACCACATGCTTTGGAGTCAGCCATTCCTCGAGTCTTCCCAACCCACCCCCCTCAACCTTCCCCAAGAGTTTCTTCTCCTCCCTGCTCAGTCCCTACTCCCTCATCTCCTCAGCGTTGGCCGTCTCCTCCAGCCGGTGCATGGAATGGATGTCCAGGTACTTCCTGTCATAGGGGAAAAAAGGAAAAGTACTGGCAGCTGTTAACACAACGGTCTCATGACAGGCCTGTGATGGCTAGAGTGTTGGACTGGGAATCAGGAGACTTGAGTTTGAAGCTCGGCTTTTTCACCAACTTACTGTGTCACCTTGGGCAAATCACTTCTTACCTTTTGGGACCTAAATGAACTCTTTATGAGCCTCTCCATGTATAGAGCCTAGGGTTAGGGAACTTGAGTTGTTTCTGTTCTGCCACTACCTCGCTGGATAACCTTGGTCAAGTGTAACTTTCCCAGCTCTCTTCATGCACTCACCACATGCAGATCCGGGGTCGGGGCAGCGGCGGCTGCGGAGAGAAAGTGGATTTGGGAAAACAGCTATGCTGTTCCCGGCCCGTTACGAATCTGCAGCGGGCCGGAGAACTCGGTATAACTTGACATCTCGTCGCAAGTACCAAGTACAAGCAACGCGGGCGGGGCTAGGTAGAAACCAGCGGACCCGAAGGGCTATTCATGAGCATATAAACAATCGGGGTCACACACCCCTACCTTTCTTCACCCAGGCGGCCCGGGAAACGTCCTGAACATTAGTAAGCATAATGAGCGGTGGCACCCTGCCTGGTAACCTTTTTATAAATATTCACGAGCGGACCAGTCTGTCCTGCCCTCACCGGGAACAAATTGACTCCAGGATCTTCACTCGCTTCTTTGGAGACTGGGGCCGCCGTGGCTGACTCGGTCCGCACACCTGTTCCCATCCGCGTGGCCGACCCACACACCGAGCTAGGCGCCTTCTCCGGTGCCTGCCGCAGTTCAGAGGGCTGTTTAAGCTCCGACTGCATCCTCACTCTCAGGAATTGTTTGGTCTTCGGGCTGATGATTTCGTGGCTCTTCCTCTGTCCCGCCTCGGTTCTGGGACAGCCTCGGCCAGTCCTCGGCCAGCGACTGCCAAGACCTAGCCCTCTACCGATGCTTCAGCCAATCTGCGCCGCAGAGCCTGCGGTTCGGCACGGCCAATCCGCGGGGGGCGTCACCCTGGTCTCAAAGGAGACGGTTGCTAAGGGGGCCTGTGAAGGAAGCGAGGTGGAAAGTAAGTGCGGGCCCCGCCAATCAGTGGCGAACGCTCATATACGTAATCAGTTGCTAGGGCCTACCTGGGTGCCCTCTCTTCAAAGTTGCTAGGTAGGTCTTGGCTGGGAAGTGGGAGTGAGGTGTCAGTTACCATGGGAACTGTCTATTGGCCAATCACTGAGGGAAAGAGGAGGTGTTCGGGAGGAATCCAAAAGATCAGAGAGGCGGGGCCAAGCGCGACCAATCGAATCAGGAGAAAAAGAAGTTTCGCCACATCCGGTACTGCCTCTGGCGCCTGCGCCCTGAGCCCGAGAGGCCGGTGACATCCGGTGAAATCCAAGATGGCGGCGCTAAGCTGACTCTGCTACCGGTGAGGGCCCTGGGGTCGGCGGGGGCGGGATCCAGCAGGTGTGTGCGTGGCAAGGGATGTTTGGGATTGTGGAGCACCAGCCGCTTCCACAGCTCTACTCTTTGTCTTCTGCAGGTGACGGAAGTGCCGCCTCCTACCCCCTGACGCCCCTTGGGGACCCTGCGCCTCTCCTCGCCGCCGCGGCCATGTCTGGGCCCGGCAACAAACGCGCCGCCAGCGATGGGGGCTCAGGGCCGCCAGAGAAGAAGCTGAGTCGCGAAGAGAAGACCACAACCACTCTTATCGAACCTATTCGTCTTGGAGGCATCTCTTCCACGGTTTGTGGGCTCTTGCTTTAGGCTTCATCACTTGCCTGACTCCTGTCTCTGTTCTCCGCCCAAACCGTCTAGAACCATACTTCAGTGCCCCAAGTTTAGCAGGGTTTCGCTTTACAGGACACTCTGTCGAAGGAGACTGAACACGGCATCTGCCTTCCTTTTCCTCCTTTTGCACATAGAAAAAGGTTCCCAGAGAGCGTGTGATTTGTCAGACTAAGAACTTAGAAAGGAACAGGTAGAAGCAGAACGTAAGCCTCCCTCACTACCAAGCCCCCCCACCCTTTTTTTTTGAGTTGGAGTCTTACTTTGTCACCCATACTGGAGTGCAGTGGTGTGCTCACGGCCTCCGCAGCCTCGACCTACTGGGCACAGGCAGTTCTTCCACCTCAGCCTTCCAAGTAGCTGGAATTACAGGCACACACCACCACGCCCGGCCAACTTTTTTGATTTGTTGTAGAGATGAGGTCTTTCCAAGTTGCCCAGGCTGCTGTTGAACCCGTGGGCTCAGGCAGTCCTCTCACCTTGGCCTCCCAAAGTGCTGGAATTATAGGCAGGAGCCACCATGCTGGGGGCAAGACCCTTTCACTCTGGGTGTTTGAGCTTCTTTGAATTCTCTTAGCAATTAGTTTGGGAATTCCCTCATCTCCCATCCATTCCATATGATCTCTGTTCCTCTCTGTGATTAAACTTCTAGGCCCTGCTTGACCCTTTCCTCTACCCCTTGTTTCTCTTGGTAGGAGGAGATGGACCTAAAGGTATTGCAATTCAAGAACAAGAAACTGGCAGAGCGGTTGGAACAGCGACAGGCTTGTGAAGATGAACTCCGAGAACGAATTGAGAAATTAGAGAAGCGGCAGGCCACAGATGATGCCACACTTCTCATTGTCAATCGCTATTGGGCCCAGGTGGATGTCGTATGCTTTCCAATACCTGGCTTGATTCAGCTGACAATCCTCAGATTCTCCTGCTGGGAAGGGAGTATCATGCTGGAAGCACTAAAGGATTCGCAGTAGTTCTGATGCTTTCTCTTTTCAGCTGGATGAAACTGTGGAAGCCCTTCTCCGATGCCATGAAAGCCAAGGGGAGCTGTCTTCAGGGACAGAGGCACCTGGGACCCAGGAGGGGCCAACACATGATGGGACCCCTCTCACAGAACCAGGAACGTCAGAGCTGAGGGGTAGGACCAGAGCCCTAGGATCTGGGGAGCTTATGTTCTGGGAAAGGTCCTAGAAAGCAGGGGACTTTGTAATTGGACTCCCGAATTTTCTGCCTTATGCCCCCCACCTAAATTGATTGCATGTTTAGGCAGCAATGGGCAGTGTATAAGAATATTGGCTTCTGAACGGGCTTGGTGGCTCAGCCTGTAATCCCAGTACTTTGGGAGGCCGAGGTGAGTGGATTACCTGAACCCGTGGGTTCGAGACCAGCCTGGGCAACTTGGTGAGACCTCGTCTCTACAATAAAGCAAAAATTAGCCAGGCATGGTAGTGCACGCCTATAGTTCCGGCTGCTTGGAAGGCTGAAGTGGAGGGATTGCCAGAGCCCAGCAGGTCGACGCTGGGATGGCTGTGAGCTTGCCACTGCACTCCAGCCTGGGTGACGGAGTGAGACTCTCCAATTCAAAAAAAAAAAAAAAAAAAAAGAATACAGTCTTTGAAATCTGACTAATAACTTGGTTCGTGTTTTGACATTCATTAATTCAAAAATGTATTACTGTTGAGTGTTGACTGCATTTGGCATTGTTCTAGATTCAGAGGAATCAAAGACAAATAGAAAGAAATATTGTTCTTGCTATCTGAGTGGAAATGGTTATAACAAGTAAAAAGTGTTGGGGCTCCTGAAAGGAGTAAAAGTGTGTGCACATGTGTATGGTTCTAATTTAGGTTGGGAATGTAGACAAGACTTCCATGAGGAAGTGACGTGGTAACTCTTCAGCCTTGAGGAATTTACCTCCCTGGGCCTCAGTTGTCTCGCTTTCAAGATGAAGATTACTGCACCGTGGGCTGTGTTGATTAAGGGAGCCGTGAGGGTTAAAGGGCTCAGTCTAGAACTTGGTGCATCATGGTGGTACCAGTTGCTGTTATCTTCATGAGGGTCTGTGTCCACTTTTCTCAGAGCCCCTGCCGGTGCAGCTGCGACCCCCTCTCAGTGAGCCAGCCTTGGCTTTTGTGGTGGCACTAGGTGCCAGCAGCAGTGAGGAGGTGGAGCTGCAGCTACAGGGCCGTATGGAGTTCTCCAAAGCAGCTGTGTCCCATGTGGTAGAGGCCTCAGACCGCCTACAGCGCCGGGTGGAGGAACTCTGTCAGCAAGTGTACAGTCGAGGTTGGTTCTTTGTACCTCTACCACAGAGGTGTCCATCTCCACCTGCATCTTTATGGTACCCTCTTCTCAATTCCCGTAATGTCCCAAGCCCAAATGCAGCCAGAAGTCCCCAAGGAATAAATCAGCCATGTTGTTGGGGGGTATGAGGTTCTGGCTTTGATTCCTCGAGTTGAACTTTACGGAGATAGATTGGAGGAGTTGTTGATGCTGGTAGGGTCTCCTCCTTTGGGCTGGAGACTCTGGAACTCTTTGTGCAAGTTGCTGATCTCCAAGGCAAGTGGTTAGGCTTTACAGGTTGACTGGCTTCTCCCAACCTTAGTTCTGCCACCCTAACTTGGGTACTTTGGGCAAATGGGTCCCCTCTTTGAACTGGTTTCCTTCTCTGTATAGTGGGGATAAAGACTCCTAACTTTGTCTTGAGAAATTGGAGACACAATGGGTAGATCAGATGGGTCATAATAGCAGACTCCACAATAATTAGTACTTTGCTCCATTGCTCTGAACTTGGCTTTTACCTGGGCCCTGCCTTCCCAGGGGACGGTGAGCCCCTCAGTGAGGCGGCTCGGGCACGCACTCGGGAGCTAGGCCGTGAGAACCGGCGACTACAGGACTTGGCCACCCAACTGCAGGAGAAGCACCACCGCATCTCATTGGAGGTGGGAGTCGGGCTTTGGGGGTGGGATTAGAACCAGGGCAGGGTTTGGATTAGATGGACACCTATGGATCTCAGTCAAGTCCTCCATGAAAGCATCTGCTCCCTCGTCTCCAGTACTCTGAGCTCCAGGATAAAGTGACATCAGCAGAGACAAAGGTGCTAGAGATGGAGACTACAGTGGAGGACCTGCAGTGGGACATTGAGAAGCTGCGCAAGCGAGAGCAAAAGCTTAATAAGCATTTGGCAGAGGCCTTGGAACAGGTAGGGCTGGGGTGCTGGGGCATATGGAGCCAGGGCTGATACTTAGGGCCCTAGCTTCTCCCCACCACATCTGTCTTTTGTCTGTCTTCTCTCCGCAGCTTAATTCTGGCTACTATGTGTCAGGGAGCTCCTCAGGCTTCCAGGGGGGCCAGATCACCCTCAGCATGCAGAAGGTGAGCAGCATCATTCCTCCCTGTCCCTCCCATAACCTTTTCTCGTTGCACTCCTGAGATTGCCCTTCGGTTGAAGGACAAGCATCAAGCTCTGAGGGCCTTTCTGGTTACTTTTGTTGGTCTATCTTTCATGTATTTGTATACTTACTCAATAAATTTCTGAACACCAAATGCTAGGCACTAGGTGTATGGGAATGAACAAGATAGGAAAAATTCAGAGCCTTCATGGAGCTTAGGTTCTAGTTGGGGGAATAGACAAGAAATAAGTAAAATAGTGTACTGATTGGTTATGAGTACTGCAAAGAGAAAGCACAGTAGAGTTAAATGGGAGTACATTAGAATTCATTGGCATTTGGAGGGAGTCTCTGTGCCCTTTTCTCTTCATCCTTCTAGGAATGCTTCCCTATCAATTAAGGGCTTTAGTTCTCAGCACTAACCATGCAGTGTTGAATTTTCTCCCACTTGCCTGGGAACCTTTAGGGAAGTCCTTGATTTGGTGCTTCAGAGTTGATCACTACCTGACACAGGAGAGCTTCGATGGAATGTGTGGTGGGGATGTGAAGGAGGCATGCTGCCGGATCTGGCCCTGTCTTTCATGGCCCCTTGTACTCCTTAGTTTGAGATGTTGAATGCAGAGTTGGAGGAAAATCAGGAATTGGCCAACAGCCGCATG